TGTGGGGCGGAGGGGCTGGCCGGGGGGAAGGTGCCGGCACAGCTCACATCAGAATCCTGCCTGGTGCTGCCTGCCCAGTGGAGGAAAAGCCCCGTCCCCCTCACCTGCTTCCCCCCACCAGCCCACAGTCCTGGTTTTGATGAGGAGGGTCACATCTGAGCGGGTTCCTCTCCACAGTGAACCCAGCGAAGCACTCGGGGACCTGGGGCAGATGCCGCCCTGCCAGGCATCCGCGCATCCCCCAAAGCCCCTTCCCTTCGCCCCCCGTCCTCCCAGCCGGGGGATCGCCTTTCTCTGATCTCTCTAATCCACTCTGATCCCCGCTAATCACATTACTGCTCGCCCATCACCTGCACATGCACCTCTGCCTGCTGGCTCCTGGCAGCCCTGCCAGCACAGGCAGCCTGACCCAGCACCTCCTGCCAGCCTCACAGGGGTCTCACGGGGCTGAGGGGTGGGTGAAAGGGCTCCCCCAGCCCCTGACACCGGCTCTGGAAACGTCTCCAATGAGCACACTTGTCTCCAAGCCTGGGGATTTGGGCTAGGCAGCTCCTCAGGTGAAGAAAGAAGCAGGTGAACTCCATCCACTGCTCTGGACAGAGCTGCTGCTGCCCCCCTGAAGCTAGCTGAGCGTTCCCTCCCGCTCTAAAGAGACATCCCTCAGAGTGCCTCAGCCGCCAGCACCAGCACCTCTGGCACTAGCAGCTCTAAGGGCAAGTCCTATGTCTGGAAACAGTCTGAGAGTACTTTGGACTACAAAGTCTGGTGTTCACCCATCAGAAGGTGTTCTCAGTCTGTCACCCAGCTGCATGCCTCTCCAGATAGGCTTTGACATCTGGAGGCGACATCTGGAGGTTTTAGACAATCTCTGAGACAGCGAGGCACCAGTGTCCAACAGCCCTTGCAACACCCCGACATCCTCTAATCTAAAAGTGTGCCCAAACCTTCTTTTGCGAGGAGCTCTGGGGCTGCTGGTGTTTGTGAACTAGAGCCTCCCTAGAGATTAAATGTCTCTCTGGGTGTAAATACAGCCCAAACTACCCCCATGGGTACCAGCATCTGAAAGTCTTCACAGATCCTGGCATCTCTTGTGGCTGCAGACAAGGGAAGACACCTCCCCTGGCCGTGTCGGAGGAGAGAGGGACCTCACCTGATCCTGCGTCTCATATCCTTGTGATTCTTCAGTGATGCCAGCATGTGCTTAGGATCAGGCCCTGCACTGGACTGGACACAGGAGGGCAAAAATCCTGTGATTTGTATTGAGCATGCTACGGACAGATCACACTGACCCTGTGACTTTTAACCAAATAAACAGCCAGGGAGAAATCTGTCGGGTCCTTGTGTTGGCTACTTGGGGCACTGCTGTGGGATCTCCCCCTCAGGGCAAGCTCAGCCCCTGAGCATCTCCAGTCACTCTTTGTCCTTAGAAAAACGGCCCCCTCTCCACTTTGGTTTGTGCTGGGTGGTAAAAAGCATCTCAGCCCTTTGCTGGAGGTGCCCATTTATGAAGAGAGGCAGAGCGGCAGGCGAGGACTGGGGCCGGTGGCTATTTGGGCTTTGCAGCCAGCGTCACTGCCCTCTCCTGGGAAGAGAGGCTGCAGGAAGGGCTGCTGAAGTGGGGAGTGAAGAAACATCACTGGGAGTCTGCATCCAAAATGCTGTTTGCTCCCAGCCTTGTTAAATGCAAAGAATATGTGACAGGAGGTGCCCTGGCCTTTATGGTAACGTGTAACATCTAGTTTCCCAATAAAATTAAAGAAATAAGACACAGCACTCTGTGCGTGACCCTGTCCGTGTCCAATCTAAGCCCTGTGGGCAGAGGAGTTAAGAGTTCTGTGGGATGAAGTTGCCACACGGCTACTGAACATGGGCGGCCAAGGGAGTAAAACCACTTGACTCCTGCCCCTGTGAAAGGGCAAGGCTGCAATGCTCTTGGGGCACTGGACACTGGAGAATCCAGAAGAGACATGCTGTCAGAACAGGGATCTATGCTGGGCAGAGTTTGGCGCTTGGCTTAGGGAGCAACTTGGAGGATTGGGAGCAGGGCATGAGCTGGGCTGTGCCACATCCCACCCTTCAGATGGCCCCTGCCGAAAGCTGCAAACTGCCACGGGTGATGCCCAGACAGGACTTGTGCATCTTCCTCCTGTAGAAAGGGATGTGGTCTCTCAAATCCACACAAAGAGAAACTGTGTCAGATGAAGGGCCTCATCCTGCCCCCAGGAATTATTTTATTGCCACCTCCAGTAAGAGCAGAATTGGGACCTGACACACAAGCAAGGTACAAGCAAGGAACTTGCACCCCTGGCCCCGTCCCTCCATCAGGGCACATCCTCCTCCTCGCAGAGGTAGCAAAGCCAAACCTGGAATGGTGAGACACATCTTCACTACACTGCTTCAACAGACCCCAACGATGAGAGGCAGCCCCAGCCTTGGAGGCCTTGATGCGAATGTCCTCTCAAATCTAAAGCTTCTGTCTGGAAGAGCCCAGTCCCAGCAGAATCAGCAGCTTTGCCAGGAGGAAAGAGAGTGCATTATTTCTTGGCCTTCTTGCCCTTGCCCTTGTCCTTGCCCTTGCCCTTGCCCTTGCCCTTGCCCTTCTTCTTTTTAGGCTTGAAGACAGACCGGACCAAGTAGCCTCTCCAGAAGGCCTGGATGCAGGTGGCAGCTCGGGTCTTGGTGTTCAACTCCTCCAACTCCCTCTCCTCCTTCTCCTGACGTATCCTGCGCTCCTCCTGAATCTGGGAATACTCCTGGAGAAGCATGGCATGTTTCTCTGTCAGCAGGGATAGCTGGGCCTTCTCCTTGGCGTAGGCAGCGCTCACCTCCTCGTACTCAGCCTAGCAAGACAGCAGATACCAGGGACAGGGCATTCAGCAGCTCCTCCCTGTGCAACCCTGTGTTCTTAAACCCATCCCGAATCCAGGCAGAACCCCGACTGGGAGCTGAGCCTTTCCAGAGGGACTCAGAAGGAGACGTGTGCCCAGTACCCAGGGAATCTCATGAGATGCCAGGTCCTAGTATCCTCACGCTCCCCTGAAAAATGCTCTGAAAAATTCTGCCTGTGTTGCAAACCACACCCACCCTCAGACAGGAACTCTGACCAGGTAACACACACACAGGTCAGAGCCCATCCTGCGGATGTTCTGTGCAATAAACCCCGTCACTGAGGTTTGGGTGAGGCTGAGCCTGAGCTAACAGCTAAGAATCCGTTGAGATGAGCGGCACTGAAGCCCAGCTGATAGGCTGTACCCTGCTGAGAGCACGAGAAGAGCCGGACCAAGTCAGCCTGGAAAAGGCCAGGGACAGGCAGTTTTAATGGTGTTACTGCACTTCCAAGCTCAGCGGCAGTTTGAGTCATTCCTAATACCTTTGAGGATGCCTCACGGAGATGGAAAATTAGGGGAACCAGTGGATGTGTGTCTGCCTTAGCTAATTCTGCCCCAAATCTGCCGTGATGTGATGCTCCAGCCACCCAGCAGACAGGAAACCAAAATAATCCCGTTGTTAAACATCTGACAAGGGAGGGGATCATTTCCTACAATCAGCAGCCAGCTCCTAGGCCCCTCCCTGCGTTTTGCTTTGTTAGTAACCCAGCAGCTCTTATCTATCTCCATAAATAGGGCAGGAGCAGGACAGCAAGCAGGTGAAGTGATTCGCAGCCTGCTGTGGGTAAGTCGGATGCCAAGGCAGCACTATGCAGGCTGGTTGGTTTCTTAGCACTTGAGAGACATCTCTCAAGGGGCCAGCAAAAACAGGAGCACGATTTGGACACCAGATAGTGCCAAGAGGATTGAGGATTGAAGCAAAACTGAAAAACCCATTCCCTACAGGTGGGTGTGTCTGACAGAACCTGGCAATCCCGTTTGCCCCCAAATACTGTGGGATTTAGCAGTGAGTCCAAGTTTTTCTAAAGTCCAAGCAGCAGAGAACTCTTGAACACACAGGCAGGACAAAGACACCTTTCCTTCTAAAGCCTGTACTTCTGGATAGAAAACTGCACCTCACTTCCACGGGCTCCTGCGTAAGAGCCACGTGTCCATTTGGAGAGGAATCTACCTGAACGTATCACCTCATGGGAGAGCAAAGCACTTCAAAGCGGATACCTGTTTTTCTGCCATGTCTGTGTCGTATTTCTGGACCCAGTTCATAATTTCCATCTCCGCTCTGCACTTTCTCTGAAACACAAACAAGAGAGGTTCCTTGCAGGCACCTGGAGCCTGGTAAGAAGTAGAGCTTGAGTTAGAAAATAGTGGAGCTTTGAGCCCTGGCATCATAGGTTTAACACCTCCTCCTTGTGGCAAGCTTCCTTCAGCTGACACATATTTTGTTTGCGCTGGTTTGGGGACTCTCATGGGACATTTCCTGAGGCCAAAATGGCCTTATTTGGTTTACAGCATGGAGCTGGGTGAGGGCTGAGGACGGAAACACGTCTAAAAGGTGCATTCTGTGGGTAGGAAATGAATGTGTCTGATGGAATGCGGCAAGTAATCGACAAACTGGGGCAACCACCCTAAAACTGAAGCAACAGAGAACTGCTAAACAGGAAAATGGGACAGAAAGTACTCAAAAAGATGAAGCCTTTTAAAACAAAGAGATCTTTCTAGCTGTAGAACAGTTTAACAGTGGCTGTGCTGCAGGTACGGGCAGTTTACCCCAAGCTGCTGTACCTGTCCTCCGTGGAATCATCAAGAGAAAGCTCAGCTACAGCCCATCACAAGTGCCACCTGATTTCCAGTGTAACACTGACCCGGGATGTCCCAAGGGCTCCCCAGCCATCGTCAGGTCAGCCCTCAGCTATTTAGACCACAAGGACAATCTTGGGTCACCCAGGGCTAGAGGACATGCTAAGGAGGGGGAAAGGAGAACTTTGGGGTCAGGAAATCTCTGCCTGAGCGTTATAATGAGCTGAGCAACTCATCACCTAATACTACAGTGGCCTGCAGCCTCGGAAGAAACTGCCTGATAAAGCCACTCCATTAAAGAGGGCGTACATGGGTGCGTTTTGGATTTCGTGCTGCGGCTCTAACCTGCATTTGGTGCTTTGCTAGTGCCCAGCCCTGCTGCCACGTTGCTCTATGTGCCCCATCACCTGTGTGTGCTGTCCTGCCGTGGGAGGTCAGGGCTTGTTTGGAGTAAATAGCAAGTAGGAGCAAAATGAGAGCAAAAAATGCTCTTTTTCCAGTTCTAGATTCTCAGTGCCCTGTGTCACCAGCATGCTGTGCTCAGGGCAGAGCTGCTGATGCAGAGGCTGAGCCTGCCTGCTGCTCCTGTTTCCTATTGTATCTGCTCAGCACTGCGAAAACTGACAGTTCTCCCTCATTCAGCTCAACCCAACTCCTTGGCTCGTGTCTTCAACATAGTGCCAGACAGAGTAGGAACTGCTCAGCTCTCAACACGAGCTGCGCTCAACCCTTGATACTACAGTCAGCTCTTAACGATGGTTTTATATATAACCAATATTACATTTGCTCTGCTTACCCCACACCAAATCCCTTCCTAACTACGCCTGCCCTGTTTTGCCGTAGCCTTGCTGCTCTGTACTCTGAGCCCAACCCCTCCAGCGTGCAGCGTCCCAGCGCTGTGTGAGGGTGGTTCCAGAGCAAAGCCGGCAGGCAGGAGGAGGCCCCGTGAGCAGGCTGCTTCCCTGCTGTCGCTGCAGGGCTGCTTCCCACCGGAACCAGCAGCGCCTGAGGAGAGAGCAGGTACGCTCCGACAAACAGCATGTGCATCCCACCAGGAGCTAGCAGGAACCAAGTAATTACCCACAGCAGCCAGACCTGACAGCACTACAAAAGGTTTTAAATCTCCTGCTCTAGAGCTCTCCTCCTGTTTACCTTCCTGAGAGCCAGCTCTGACTCTCGATGCTCCAGCACGAGTGCATGGAGTTGAGCTCCCAGCTGCTGCACATCCTGCCGCAGCCTGCCACACCTGGCCCGGGCGGCTTGCAGCTCCTCCTTTTGCTGTTTTTCTCCTTCCTCCTTCATCTGCTGGATGCCAGTCTTGCAGGCTTCGGTCAGCTCTTGCATGCTGCTTTTGAGGATTCTGATCTCATTGTCCTTCTTGTGAGTCTAGACTCAGAAAACAAGGGAAAAAAAAAAACAGTGAGAAATGCCAGTGAGGCATAAGGTGGGCAGGAGAAGTCAGACAGCCCTGCAAAGGTGGAGGAGATGTAAGAGCTGCTCTAGGAGTGACGAGGACCTGCCACTGCTGGCTGAGGGCACAGAGCTGGATTTACACAGGGTGCCTTGGAAACCTGCCCCACTGCTCCTCTGGGAACCTGCCAATAAAGGTGGAGACTGAACAATCCCTCCCGAGACCCACTGGCACTGCCATCTGAGGAACAGCCACAGTCAGAGCCGCTGGAGCGAGCCCCATGGCTCCGCAAGCTTTGGATTAGGCTCAGAGCGACTGTCTGGGGGCCGCAGCTTCGTGTGCTGCCTGCAAGGGAAACCCTCAGCTGGGAGCAGTGAAACAGATTTATTCATGATGCCCTGGACAAGCTGACAAACTGCACATAAAAATCTCAAGTGTCTTGGTTCACAGATCTCTGGGGAGCAGAGGGAACGGGGAAAGCAGGCTCCTGTCTCCGCTAGCACCATTCAGCACAGCGAGCACGTGACAAAACCTTCCCCTGCAACCCCTCTTGCAGGGAGGAGAAAGAAAAGCGTACCTATGAAACAAAGGATTGCTTGTCAGGAGCTCAGGGGCTCGGATGCTGGCACAGCCCACGGGCTCCCAGGAAGAGCCTGGGAAATGCCCGTTTGTTTATCTGAATCCATATAATCACATATTAATCATAAGTGCTCCAAGGCAGCTGACGCTACAGAGCTGGAAGTCACAGCAATGTGGGTTTGAAGCAAGAGTGAAGGCAGAGCAGATATTACAAATGGATTTTAATCAGAGCAATTTCTCCCTGGAATGACTTTTCATCATTTCATCAGCAGGGAACGGAGTCTCGCACAGGCAGCTGACATTGCAGCCCTGCCAAAACACTACCACAGCAATCTGTGCCTGTCCTGTGGCTCCTTTTTAGACTCAGTGACTTGTGTCATTCCAGCTGGCCAGTGAGAGCAGGTTCAAAACATGGCAAATTCCAGTTTAAAAAAATCCAGCATGCAATAAGCATTTTTCATTGTATTTTACAACAAAAAATAGTGTCTTTAAATTTTGGGTCTGGTTTAGAAATATTTCTGGAATTTCCTCTATAGGAACTGCAAGAAAGGGATAATTTTTTAGCTTACCAAAGTTTTGCTTCAGCAACACTTTGTTGGAAAACCTTCCCACAATATCATACCTCCTCCTCGCAAGTCCGGATCGCTGCTGCCAGTTCTGCCCGTAAAGCTGTGATTGCTTCAGTGTTTTTCTCAATCTGGAGGGAGAGGTCTTCCATGAACCGAATCTTTTCTTCCTCTTCCACAGGACTAGTCAGGAGTCTCTCGAGCATTAAATTCCTGAACTCCCTGAAGGCTTTGATAAACACTTCAGCTGGTGACTCTCTTGTCCGAATTTCATATTTCAGAGCCTGGCAAAGTGAAGGGTTGGCCAGCAAGAGCCTCAGGACGTTTCTAACAGAACATTTCAGCCGTTGCTCTAGCAAGCAGAGACGGCTCCATTGTTCCTTGGTGCCCATGGTGTTCTCTTCTCCAGAGCTGGCAAGCAGGTGCCGCACTTCAGTGGAAAGCCTTTGGTGCTCAGTCAGCTTGTTTGTGATCTCAGGTCCCAGCATATCCACAAACCTGTCCAGAGAGTCGATGATCCATGGGACCAAACTGCTCAGCTCCAGCTTGGCAATCATCTCATCCAGGACAGTGATGATTCTTTCCGTCTCAACGCTATTGGGTTTTAACTGACGTGGCTCTGACATCTTTATGGCATTTAACATGGTTGTTGCCTTCTCTGGAGCTGCCATCCCCTTTACCAGGGGCTTGTTTCTTTGCTTCACGTCCTGAGATGGTACTTGGAGCACAGCTGGGTCCCCTGTTGCCATGGCTTCAGTTAAACACTTTTAGTTGAGTGTTTTGAGGTCTAGAGAGGACACAACATCTCTTACACGAGGTGAGACTCTGTCAAAGAACATTGAGGCCCCTCTTCTGCTGCTGTGACATATTCTTCTTTCTTGGATCTTGTCTCTAAAAGGAAAGTATAGTGACAGAGTTAGAGAAACAAGATAACTAGGGAAAATGTGGGAGTTTCAGATTGCACCAGGGTTCTCCCTGGGTCTGGGCACACGGTCAGGACATGGGGTCTTGCATCCAAACTGGTCCCTGTCCCAGAGAGTCCGTTAAACACCCAGCAGGAGGGAGGAGAGCGATGGACTCCCGGCTTTCAAGGGTGGTGGGGAGAAAGCTCCCAACGGCTCCTAAGCAGCAGCTGAGGCGGAGCAGCATGCACTGCAGCTCTGCAGCCCCTGGAGGTGTGTGGAGAGGGGCTGGCAGGTCCCCGGGGCCACCCTGGAGGGAAGGGCAGGGTCCCCACTGTGACACACGCACCTCCATCCCTCTGGGCCTGGCTCTGCCAGCAGGACGAGGGGGGAGAGGGGTCTGGGTGTCTGGAAGGGATGCGCTGACGGGGACAAGGGTAAGAGGAGGGGACAATGAGGGGGGCAGCTGTGGGG